AAACCACCCCTTTCCCCAACAAACCACCCCATCACCCAACCACGGACCCCATCACCCAACCACGGACCCCATCACCCAACCACAGACCCCATCACCCAACCACAGACCCCATCACCCAACAAACCACCACATCACCCAACCACTGACCCCACCACCCAACCACAGACGCCATCACCCAACCAGCCACCCAACAAACCACCCCACCACCAAACCCCACACCTTCATGGCACGGAACATCCGCAGCTGCTCAAACTCAAACTCCAGCTCCACATGGGGCTGGGGGCCGGGGGGTCTTCGCCAGCCCACGTAGTCGTAGCCAGGCCAGAGCCTTCGCTCTCGGCTCCGTGTGAAATCATCCAACCCCAAAACTCCATCTGCCAGCTGGCCCAGACCCCCATAGAGCAACCTGGGGACAGCAGGGGGTCCTGTCACCCACAGGGACCCCTCCCCGCTCACCTGGGTCACACTTGTGACACCTGGGGATGGGTTGGGGACGTTTGGAGGAGGTTGGGGACAGTTTGGGGGGGCACTTTGAGAAGGTCTGGGGATGCTTGGGGATGGTCATCGCTGGTTGGGGACGCTTGGGGACAGTTTGGGGACATTTAGGGGTGGTTTGGGGACAATTTGGGGTGGTTTGGGGACAGCTGGTGATGGCCATCCCTGGCTGGGGACATCTGGGGACAGTTTGGGACACTTAGGGATGGTTTGGGAACAATTTGGGGACAATTTGGGGACGGTTTGGGGACAATTTGGGAACACCTGGGGATGGCTATTGCTGGTTGGGGACGCTTGGGGACAGTTTGGGGACATTTAGGGATGGTTTGGGGACAGTTTGGGGACAATTTGGGGTGGTTTGGGGACACCTGGGGATGGCCATTGCTGGCTGGGGACACGTGGGGACAGTTTGGGACACTTAGGGATGGTTTGGGGACAACTTGGGGACAATTTGAGAACACCTGAGGGTGACCAAAGAGGTTGGAGACACTTGGGAACAATTTGGGGTCACCACATGATGGTTTGGGGACAATTTGGTGACAATCTGGGGACACTGAGGGATGGTTTGTGGGTAGGCGAGGACGGTCAAAGCTGAATGGGGACAGTTTGGGGACAACTTGGGGACATTTGGGGACTCACGGGCCGGCGCTGTCACCATCATAGGTGGAGTCATTGAGGACGATGGTTGTGGGGTGAAGGGACATCGTGTGTCCCCTTGGCGCGGTGTAGGACAGCAGCCCGGCTGGGGACAAGGATGTGTCACCATGGGGGCCACCGTGGGGACCACCCCCGAGGTGACACAGGGTGACAACGGGAGGGGTGGGGGGCGGTATGGGGTGACGTGGGGTGACGTGGGGTGAGATGGAGTGGTATCGGGTGAGATGGGGTGACATGGGGTGACAGGAGGGGACAGGAGGTGACACGAGGTGACATGGGTGACATGGGGTGACACAAGGTGACACAGGGTGTCATGGGGTGACAGGAGATGGCACAGGGATGGCACAGGGTGACATGGGGTGACATTGGGTGACACGGGGTGAGACAAAGTGACACGAGGTGACATGGGTAACATGGGGTGACACAAGGTGACATGGGGTGACACGGGGTGACACTGGGTGACAGGAGATGGCACAAGGTGACATGGGGTGACATGGGGTGACACAAGGTGACACGGGATGACACAAGGTGACAGGAGATGGCACAGGGTGACATGGGGTGACCTGGGGTGACACAAGGTGACACGGGATGACACAAGGTGACAGGAGATGGCACAGGGTGACATGGGGTGTCACGAGGTGACACTGGGTGACATGGGGTGACAGGAGATGACACAGGGTGACAGGAGATGGCATAGGGTGACATAGGATGACATGGGGTGACATTGGGTAGCATGGGGTGACAGGAGATGCCACAGGGTGACAGGGGTGACGTTGGGTGACATGGGGTGACATCAGGTGACACTGGGTGACAGGAGATGTAGCACAAGGTGACATGGGATGACACGGGGTGACATTGGTTGACATTGGTTGACGTTGGTTGACACAGGGCGACAAGAGGTGACACGGGGCGACATCGGGTGACATCAGGAGATGACACAGGGTGACAGGGGTGACATGGGGTGACATCAGGTGACACTGGGTGACATGGGGTGACAGGAGATGTGGCGCAGGGTGACATGGGATGACACGGGGTGACATTGGGTGACATTGGTTGACATTGGGTGACACAGGATGACAAGAGGTGACACGGGGTCACATGGGGCGACATCAGGAGATGACACAGGGTGACAGGGGTGACGCTGGGTGACGTGGGGTGACATCAGGTGACACAAGGTGACATGGGGTGACAGGAGATGTGGCGCAGGGTGACATGGGATGACACGGGGTGACACTGGTTGACATTGGTTGACGTTGGTTGACACAGGGCGACAAGAGGTGACTCGGGGTGACATCGGGTGACATCGGGTGACATCAGGTGACATCGGGTGACACCGACCATCCCAGGGACATCCGTAGAGCTCCAGCCGCAGGCAGACGCTCATCGCTCGGGGGGCGCGGGGGTGAACCCGCAGTGCCACCGCCACCAGGGGGGGGGACAGATCCTTCAGCACCACCCCCTGCGGGTCCTCATTGCCACCGATCACCTGCGAGGTCACCCGAGGTGTCCCCAAGGTCACCTGATGTCACTTCACCACCCCAAAGTCCCCAGGATGTCCCCAAGGACTCCCGTGGCGTCTCACCACCCCAAAGTTCTCAAGGTCCCCAAGTTGTCCCCAAGGTCCCCCATGTCATCTCACCACCCCAATGTCCCCAAAGTGTCCCCAAGATCCCCCCATGTCATCCCACAACCCCAATGTCCACAAAGTGTCCCCAACATCCCCCCATGTCATCTCACCAGCCCAATGTCCCCAAAGTGTCCCCAACATCCCCCCCAT